AACCACGTTGGATGCAGCGAGCGCAATGAAGCGAAAAGTAAAACGGAAATTGGATGCTTCCGAAATGGCATACTTCCGGTTGGGAAGTACGTGTCCCTCCGTTTTTGTTTCGTCGGCTCTTTTATTATTTTTTAGTAGGAGCGTGTTTTACGGCAATGTTGTTTAATTTCAGAGAACGATTTCCGCTTTGAGAGAACTGTCCGATCAAAGGCTGTGGTCGATCATTCCGATGAATATAGTAATTTTTTTTTCGCTTTGTGGCATAGCAATTTATCCTATAAGCTCTTTAACGACGCGTCCTTTGTCTCTGGCGAACAGGAGGCACGAAAAAAACCGGAGATTTTTGGCAGTCGTTTTAAGATGCCGACAGCCTGTAGTTAAGCCTGGCTGGGTGCCTCGGCACAACCGAAGAAATGGTACGTTACCCTCGTCATTACGTCAGGGCTGTTTCTCGATGAAATCGATAAGGTAACGCGCAACTTTGTGTAATCGCGAGGTGGGCTGCTTCTTGGGGGCCGAGTTCGCTATAGCAGTATTAATATCCCATCCTTATCACCGCACTTTGCGACAACAAGATCTATGTTGCACCCTTATCACCGCACCTCGCGATGGAAGCATATATATACACATATATATTCACAAACACGCTGTTTATAAACAACCCCGCGTTTGCCCAAGCCAGGTGTAGGCACTGCGCGTGCGCAGAATCTAGACTCGCGAGACATGAAGCATCTGCGCATGCGCAATGCCGACAGCAGCTCCACCGCAGTAGAGCAACGTCAGAGCGTTCAGTTGGTGTATGTCGCACCCTTGTCATCGCATTTCGCGTCAACCAGATCTAGTTTGCACCCTCATCACCCCATTTTGACACGAGAGAGAAGCATGCACGCGCTGAACGCACGGACTTGAAGAATGGAAGTTGCCAGGAGTTCTTCTCTGGAACGCTGTTTGTCGAGACCGGTTATAACGAAGTCAACGGAAATCAGAAATCACTTCGCTATATCCACTATTTCATTATAACCAATTTTGGTTAAGAAGAAAATGGGAAATCGTGATCGCTTCGCTGTCGCCGCTATTTCGTTATAACCGACTTTTTATAACCGGTCTCGACAGTAAACTAAAAACAAACGATTTAAAGCAAAAAAAAAAAAATGCAGCTCGGTCCTTCATAATTTTTGACAGCTTAAGCATCGCAGGCATGGCGAGACGCGAGCATCTAATTAAAGCTCCGCAGCCAACGAGAGGACGCCATATTAGCTGATAAGAACGATTCACGAAGCAAGAAGCGGGAAGACATTTGCCATGACATGCATTTTTTAAGCTGTCGCGACTATGCGTCGAGAAAGTGAGGGGGAGGAGGAGACGAGAGCGCTCGGGGACGTCAGAACGTCGAGCTCTGCTTGGAATGATTAGTGGAGACGCAAAGCTAGATGCCTTTGTCCCCACTACAGTCGTCGAACGCGTTAGTATGCAGAACACAGGAGTCCGGCGTTTGGTTCTTCCATTTGAACGCGTTCGACAAATGCACCCCCGGTGCTCTTTTCTCCTCCTTTCCTTTACTTCTCGGTGCATAGCGTCCCACAAAAATGCGAAGCATGTTTCGACTTGGGTCTTTGCTCTCCTTTTTTTTCTTTTAATTGAGAAGGATAGCGAGCGCGTTGCAGCACGACTGTCGCAGCAACCTATATAATAACGAATTTTGGACGCATGTGAACCACAGTCTCAATGTTTGAACATCCGGAGCTACAGGAGTGTATTATTTATTTCGTCTTTTTTTTACAGAGAATGCCGGAGCCACGAACGTTCAATCGAGGCCTCTGATATCGCTTGACTTATAGTGTACATAAAAATGAATACGTAACAATGTGCGACCGCATAGGAATGCGCAAGAGCCCGTTTAGATCTCGTCTCGCCTTAGATGCATCTACATTGGGATTTAGGTGCGCGATTCATAAAAATATACATCATGCGCGCTAGCCGTGTGCACGTAAATGGTGCCGTGGCTTTTGTATTTGCGCGCTCTGTTGGGATGATCAAAAGAACCGTGAGCAAACACATAGAAAACATACGAAAGCGAATCGAAAGGCCTAGATACATTTTGATGAATATCTTCCCACAGTGTTGAGGAACCCGGGGTTGGACGTTTGAGTGAACGAATCCATTGTAAACTACGGAAGTCTTTGAGAACTGTGACACAGTAAATCCCCTCGAGAAAATTTACATCGAGGGGCTTTCCAGGAGATTTCTTCGCCTCTGCATCTGCGTTGGGCTCATTTTTCTGGATAAATCGCCCAGTTTCAATACATGGCGTATGTTGGCAGCTCTAATACACATAGTTTTTCAAACTAAGTGTCCCCATTTCTCTATGTTTGCTCTTACACCTAAAAAAAAAAAAAATCATGTTTGGATGCGAAGTGTGTCGCCTTAGAATCGATGAGGTAACGTATATTTTACAATATTAGTCTTTGGAGGAGGACCTCCAGCCTCTTCTCGATAGTACCCGGAGAGACACACTGTTCTTGTCGAGCGTCTTAATGCACTAAGCATGAACTTTGAATAGTGCTTTGACTATACTCAGAACGACCCTTCGCCAAGACTGCTTTCCAATTAATCTGATATCTACCTACAAAAGCAAAATACACAAAACATAGACCAAAAAAAAACAAAAAAAAACCTATAATCTTGCGGTCAGAAACCGTTTGTTTACATATGACGTGTTTGTGGCCGATGCTCATTCGACGCATACATAATAGGTCGTTAGATTTCGTAGCACTTCCTCCGGAATTCAAAATTAACAAATTCCATTCATACGAAAAACGAGAAAAAAAAATTATATTACGTTACAGAATTTAAAATTTCAAAGCTAGAAAATAAAATTACAGAAGCTGCAGTTTATCGTTATGAAATTTACGTCCAGCTCCGAATGAAACCTATCTTTATTCTTCGCTCATTGCTCTCTTATATTATTTTGTTTTCGAGCACCGAGGCATTTGATAATTGGAGGCATTAGGGGAAAAATAAACCTTTAATTATGAATAAGTTTGTCTCAGTTAGTTTAAGAGAAAATTACGGTCAACCTAAATAAAGGGAGAGCAATAGCGAGAGAGGGTGCAAAATGAATGTTATGTAGAGAGAAATAATGCTTCTTTTAAAAACGACACCAGCCACTTGTGCCAGTTCATTTGCTTTCGAGCATTTTTGAGAATGCACAGAATCTTTCGGCCACCTCGGATTTTCGAAACCCCTGCATTCTCGGCCTTCATATAAGAGGGGCCACCATGATTGGTTTCACGGCGCTCATGACACGGAGGATCTTTGTTCACTCGGTCGAGGCACGTACCTCATGATTCATGAGGAGTTTAGAAAGACCAATTGTGTGCATGTTCCTCGAGGTGTCACATAAGAAAGAGTGCTGCACCTCTGCCCAACTTTGCATGCTAGACACGCTGGGTGCAGTAAAAAAAAGCTCTAAAAATATATCTTTCTTTTAGGCGGAGATGCATGCATTGCACATAGACGGCATTTCAAAACCTAAGAGTTTCTTGGCTTAGAGTGTGCTATTTAACCAAAAATTTGTGATAACTTTTGTAGACATTTCATCGATAAAGAGGTAGCATCCTTGCAGGAGACGCTATATTTTCCCTGTTATCCAGGCTCCGGTAGGCGCCATTTTCTGGTAGAGTATTTTCGAAAATCGCGTCTGTTAAATTAGATATTGGTAAATTTGCGAAATTTTGGCGTGTTATCTCAACAGCTCGCGCTACATGCTGGTGGCGGTTTCTCGTCTAAAGTGGTTACGTACTCTGTGTCCGTAGTAAAGAAAACAAATATTTCGAATATTGAATGTTATTCTTATTCAACGAAAGAAATGAGCATAACAATAACCAACATATGTGTTATCCTTCTCTCTACATTTCATTCCCACGTTTATACAAAAAAGCATGACACAGCTATCTTGATCGACTCCATCGGTAGGCTTGGCTAACGCTACCTAAAAGATAAAGAACTGTGCCCTTCCTCGTCAAACGCCTTACTTACTGGAGACCCGCCACGCCTCGCAGCTCGCGATCGCGTCGCCGCGAGAGCGTCTCGCAGCTCGCGTTCGCGTCGCCGCGAGAGCGTCTCGCAGTATCTGGCAACGATCGGGCTGTCAGGTTTCAACAGGCGGCGACGCCAAGATGCACGCGTCTGCTGCTTTGCCACGCAGTTTTGTCGAGCTTTGCGTTTTTTCCTCTTGTGGCGGGTCAGATATCCATCAACTAAGGTGCCTCCGTGCCAGCGCAGCGTCCAGGGTAGAGACACCCGCCATATTGGTTTAATCTTTTGACTTCTCTCCTCGGCGCCAGTTTCGTTCAATGTTCAGCAAATTACCCTAAAAAGCAGCTTTTCTACACATAAACTACATCCACACACCGCGAAGCCACAGGACCCAGTGCGGTCGTACCGCGTCAGGGTGACCCTCCGCGTTCGTAAATACCCGCGTTTATACTTTGTAGAGCCGACGCTGGCATCTAGGACGATGACGTACCGCGCAGGCGTCGGCTTCAACAGTCACGGGGTGGTTGAGAACGGCGGGGAATATCTTTCGAATGCTCACTCTCCAGCACGTTACCTTCCGTCGTGCTTTGGCTGCGCGTGCACTCTCGACGCATTACCGAAGTTATACAGTCACTGACAGAACGATCAAGGCAGGAGGTAGTTTCTGCTGTCCCGCCTCCAGCGCGTGCTTTCCGCCTTCGATGGCACTTCGGCGTCTCGTGAGCATCGAGCGTGCACGCGCAGCCAGAGCACCATGGATGGCAGACAGCGTGTGCTGCAGACCGGGTTTCCGAAGGAGACGTGCTGCTGTTTTAACTCTGTCGGTAACTACTGGAAACTCGCTTTGGGAGCGGTACAACTGAAGGACCCCCTTGTCTTTCTCACCCTGTTAGTGAGTACTATAGTTGGCTTAGGCTAGGCCACAGTATCCCGAGTTGAGGGGGAGAGGGGGAGATGCTTACCGATGAAGACCTTGAGTTCGTAGGAGACTCCCAGGGGACTGCCCTGGTAGGGCCTGGCCGGGTGCAGACGCACTGAGGGCGGCGCCTGGGACGAGATTCGCAGCGTGACCGGGTACGCGTCGCCGCCCAACTTCTTCAGCAGGTTCTGCTGCAGGGGCGTCAGCTCGTCGGCCGCGCCGCTGCCGTCCCGTGCTCCCACGCCGGAGATGGCCGCGCCTGACCCCGTCGAGCTCGGCTCAGGGTACACCTGCGCGGGCGTCACATTTGGTGGGGGATGTGACATACATTGCGTGGCACTGCTAGCGCGAACAAGCAGTCGCCTGCTTCTCCTATGTTTAACGCGATAGAGTTTAGGAGCTCCTGTCGCAGAAAATCAGGCGTCGGTGTCGGCGTTGGTAGGACCGAAAAATCCCATATTGCAACGCGCGCAGCCACGTGTGGCGTCGTACGTGGCTGTGACGTCGTAACCTTTTCGACCCGCTAAATTTGTGGGAAAATTTTTCCTTCAAAATATAACGAAAAGTTTTCCCGCCGAATTTGACAACAATTTCGATGAAAACACGTGACGTCATGTGACGTCAGGGGACACGTGACGCTACCGACTAGATGACGTACTCACGCTATCACGGCTTGGTAATGAGCGTGGGCTTAGCGAGAAGGCTTTGTGACGGTGCCCGATAACGCTATCGCGTTCCACTTTTAAGGGCGAAGCTTAAGTGTCCCTCAAGTGTTTCTTCTGATATATAGGGGCTGTCAACCAAAACTACTATGGTAATGGAAAGCGCTCACTTGCTAGACTATCCTAAGATGCAAACCTATTGTTTTTTAAAACGCTCACTTAGTGAACTAGCCTAAGACGCAAACCCTTTCATGAGTAAGTATAAAATGATACCAAAATCCCCGATGTTCGTCTTGTATAGGCGCTAACAGGGTCGCGCAGAGTACGCATTTGCTGCCAAACCAGCCGAGGTTCGTCTGGGATGGCTACATCACGTAGAGCGGTATTTACACGAGGGAGGAGTCTGACGGATTTCTCCGTGCCGTAAACGTGCCGTAAACGTGCCGTACAGCACACATTTACGCTGCGGTATGGTTCAGCTCAGCGGCGGAGAGGCAAAGGGCATACGTTGGGGGGTGGGAGAGGGGACAAACAATCTCTTTTTTGTGTTGAATTTATTTGATTGTAACTATATCTCGTAGGTAAAACTTTGTCTTCACAAGTAGGACAAGAAAAAAAAAAGTCTTCGGCGGTGTGATTAACGTAAACGGCTAAATTCCACTGCTAACGCTAACATCCCTGCCAGAGGTAGACGACGAAGTTGCGCCCACTGCTGACGTCATGCACATCAGCCTGCAGACTTTTACATCGTGTGAACATTAAATCTATGTTTTCCGGGGTTCTTTGAACAGGTCCAACCGAAATCTCAATTACGTAGAGCCTGCGCCGAAATATGCCTCCTTCATACTTGGGTAGACATGCGGTACCGTAGAGGCAGTAGCGATGTGGGCAATTAAAACGGCGGAATTGGTTTACGTGGCAAGCTCGGTGGCATGCAGGCAAACAAAGTGAAAGAAGGGGGAGGGGGGATCCGGAAAAAGGAAAACAGAGAGGCTAACCTAGGCTAATAATCCTGGCTCTGGGTAAAGGTAATTAAAGGAGAAAAAAAGATAGGCAGAGGAGACACAGCACCTGTAGTATGCAAAAAAAGAAAAAGAAAGAATAAAACAGCGTACACGTTACTGTGTACACTAATTAACCTTTGCGGAAGGCGAAATCTTCGTCGTGTCTTAGGAATCACGAAAGAGCAGGTGTACATTTAGCTTTTTTGTCGAATTTTCGTTAGATATTAAACTGAACTATGACAGTGCCGTACTCTCGAAATTGCGTAACATCTTAAATCGATCTTTACGTCATTTTCTTTTGTCCCTCCTATTCCGCTTCTCCAGGATTTATTTTCGCCATACAGAAGTAAATAGAGCTCCTTGAAATTCCATACGAATACGATTAGGTATCAAGTACTGTTCTCCACCTCGCAAGCGGTGTGTTTTCTTTTTTTTTTTTTTTTTTTTGTAACAAGGTAGTTTAGTTTCGTAGGTTCCTTTTGCTCGCGAGCACTCGGACTTGAAATAAGTGACTGAAACTACGTTCCGCTGCACCAACCTCTGCACGTTTAAAGATGTCCTTGGCGTGCTGCAACGCGGACGAATATTTGTGCCAGACAGCCTTCGATCGTTTGCCGACGTTTGCGCCATAGTAAGCTTGGTCTGGCAGAGCTCCTCGGATCCCAAGATCAAGCTACTACCTGCCCCCTGCTAAGAACGGCGATCTTAATGGTAGGGAACGCACGCTGCAGAAGTAGTGTGGGTTTCTTCGCCAAGATTCGCGATTGCGTTCAAGCCGTGGCGCTGGGGCGGGACGCTTTCAATGACGTAACTACACCGGCCTCCCAACTACCAGGTAGTATTAAAAAATCGTGTTGTTCGTTTTAAAATTCATTTTTGCGCGTTTTCGAGCAGAATACTGGTGTTTCTAAGGTGCTGACACTACGTAGTTTCTGGCTAAACGAAGAAGTGTGCTAAACTTTTGTTTTCGTTTCCCTTTAATTATGGTTTGTCACGAAATCTACCCAAGCGAACTGAAGCTCTTATACACCGATCACACCTGGGCGTTTCTTGCGAACAAGAATTGCCGCACCGGTAAGGGAAACCACATAATCTGAACTGTTCAGGCTGCGGCTGTGTAGACACTATGCTATCCCAATTACTATGTGAATGTACTTTTTTACAGTCCAGAAAGAGAACTCTTAAGGAGCACTCTCTCACTTCTAGACGACCGACAAACTGCGACGTTGAAAATACTAGGGACCTATGGATTGTGGGAACCACGTGTTTTCTGTCTCCATATCTAGGCCTAGGACTTGAAGGCCGTGGCCTGCAAGTCCTAGGCCGTTATGGCAGCTTCCCGGATACGAGGCCAGGCCGCATTCCTAGAAAAGGGTGGTGTTTCCCTCGCCCTCTAGGGTGAACGTGCAGCCGGCAGACCTTTGGAAATGATACTGGATGCGAACCATATCCGGGCGAACCTACGACCGGCCGCTCCAGGCGCGTCCATTTCTCGCAGGCTATTCGCCTCCAGATCGACCTAGAGGTGACGCTACTGACGCGATATCATCATCATCAATGCGGGGATGGAACCATGACCGCCCCATGGGCTCTCCATGTTCGCGCGAGACGGTGTAGATTCTTGCGTTTATTTTGTCACAAAGTATCGGTTTGAAAACAATTTTAGCGGAAAATGGTACGGTACTGTTCGGTTCTTTAGTGAAGATTAAATCGTTTTACCAGCGTATGGCCTAAATTTAAATAATCGCTCGTGTGGATACGTCGTCTGCTCTTGGCAGACGTTCCGAAACATGGATCATCACGACAAATACCTGTGTTCGGATGAACTCCAGTATTTATGTAAATATTTGTTTCTTTTAAAATAGATGTATCGGTTCCCCATCGTGGGAATTTAACAAAATAATGAATTCCAACCCGGATAACACAATACGGGCACTGTGGGCGGTGAAATCGCAGGCTGTACGCATTTTTGCCTTTGTTTATAACTGTTAGCTTTTAGACTAATATCAATATTTAGCATGAAGGGAAGTTAGTGCTGTATTGGAAATTGCCGTGCTGTTGAGTTCCGCCGCAGTCAATGTTTCCCTTTACTGTGCCAAGGAGTGGGTAAATTTTTCGGAGTCAGAACAATTCTGTTACTTTGCCATGAAGAGAGAGTGCCTCTTCTAGTTACGATCCGGAAACTGTTCGTTGGTCGGACAACTGAAACAAGTGAAACAAAATATTTTAATATTTCTGCCGCGTGGGGGACAAACGGGTGTAACCGAGCAACGCAGCAGCGTGCGTCATTAGATGCTTTCCTCGGTAGTGTGGGTTCACCCGCTTCGATTTTCTCGGTGAGGGCCGGGAATGTCAAAAGGCTATAAATTTATGGCTAAATAATCCTACATTCAAACATAGTAGACCCTGAAATTCCAACGAACGACCCGCACCACAACACTGACTGCATCGGCCGCAGCGACACTCTTTTACTGACGTGGGCTAGCGACTTTCACGAGGGTTTCCGATCACCCTCCGCCCTCGCCTAACGCATATCGGGACTGGGCAGTTCGTCGATTAATCTTCAGATTATTCAACTAATGCTTTAACTGCAATATTTTTTTTTTCGTTTAATACAGATTTTTTGCTGTAGAAAGTCAGGAAAAAGTTTTAAAAAATTCCTGCTTTACTATTTCTGACGTCTTTATTTTTTTTAAGACATAGGCTTGTACGGTAAACCACTTCAGCATGCTTGTGATTGTCATCGAGAGTGATTATACTGTTTAAATGATAACTTAATTTTTTTCACTTTAAAAGGCTTTCCGTGTTCATATTTCTTAAGGCGTCACAACGTGAAGTTTAAAATAGGAATGCATAATGCCATTTATGACACACTAGTAAAACAAAAGTGTAGTTTTAACGTTTTTCATGCAATATTGCCGCGCGCCAAGTAGGCAGCGCGGCCGTAGCCTAACGGTTATCGCGCTTGCCTCCCACGCGAAGGGCCAGGGTTCGATTCCTGGCCGCGACTATGCATTTTTGTTAACACTGTAATGTGATGTTCTGGTGAAATCGAGAACCGTCTAGCTGATTCAAGGTGTCAGAATGTTCTACGCGCCGAACCTTCTACGTCGAATGCTCCAGAAGCCAACGTGTGTACAAAAGCGGCTCCGCGGGCAAGCCGGAGCCAGTCTCGCCCCTGCGTTCGACTCTGCTGCCACGCCGACTTCGACGCCCGCGACGCTCTATTATTATCTTTTGTACTCTTTTATTTTTGGCACAAGTTCGCCACATTAAACGTTTATTTCTTTCTGTTTATTTCCTGTTTTTGTTTGGTCACCACCCGTGACATTTGGTGGAGGTGCGGGGTACCGCATGCCCCTGCCGCGTACCCCTCCGAGGGCCCCCAGTGCAAGTCCGACGCCTAGCCCACGAAGAACCGACGAAAGCACTTCCGAGATCCGGTTCAGTCGTCGCACCCAAGGTCTACACCCGGAATTCGGACCTCTACCGCCCAAGACTAAGCAGTCAACGAGGCCAACGATGGACAGCCAGTCGTCCCAGAACCCGTCCACCGCCAGCGTCGTATACCTGCCCGTCGCACCCAAAACTCCGACGCCTTTCCACGGAGACACCCACGAGGAC